AAGTCTGAAATGGCCACATCGCCTCGCTGACCCGGACCTGCAGGTACGCTTTTCTTAGATCCAGCAGGGACACATTGGAACTCTGCTGGCGCCATTCTCGTAGCTTGCTGGCACAAACGTCAGCATCTGCCGTGAACACATCAACATGCGCGTTTAGTTCGCGGTAGTCCATCACTGGCCTCACCTTTGCTTTGTTGTGCTGAGCAACCGCCATCAGCGGGATCAGGCCTTTGGGAGGTCCAAGTTTCTCATAGGGGTAAGGAATCAACCAGGCATCCTTGATCCATTCACGGAGCTCCCCTTCGTATGCAGGCCTTATTTGATCGGGCACATGGTACTCGGCTACCTCGTTCCGCAGTTTGGCTGGTTCCTGAGTTTTCCGACCACCTCCATGAGGTGGTCCAAGTCTTCTGCTGCTGGTCAAATTCGACACTAAAGTCCGACTGGTCGATCCTCAGAGCTGCGCACACTGGGGCCCTCTCCTGAAACTGTACTGCCCCCGTCTGCGTTATGTGAACACCACCTAAATCTCTGATGGCATCATAGCCTAGAAGCAGGTCAAAATTCAGTGGTTTTTCGAACACTACTAGCGCCTCGACGTTGGCCGAGTTTCCAGTTCTTGTACGGATGTTCACTGCGCCTACCTGCAACACCTTCGTGTTTCTCCACTGATGGTGGTCACCCTGACACTCTTCTTCTTCCAAGTGCGGTAGAGGTCCGCGCACACTATGGTGCGGGAGCAACCGGAATCGAGAAGTGCTGAGCACAATGTCTCATTAATGTAGACCTGGATGATCGGAAGCGCCTCATCTAATTTCTGCTTGGGGAAGAGGTCGACGCTGGCACCTTGTCCCTGGCCCTGTTTCCCGCACAATCCCGGACCAAATGTCCAGTCTCATTACACCGGTAGCAGCGAACAGCTGTCAGTCGCCTCCTGCAGTTCCTCGCAATGTGGCCCTGGCCACCGCACCTATAACATACGACCCCACTACGGGGCTGGGCCCTGAAACGGTCTATCATCACTCGGCGTGGACTGTGCAGGGCGACTACCGGTTCTCTCACCTCAGAGCTGTCTTTCATCACGGTCTGGCCCGGTCTACCAGGTCATTAAGGGACAACGAGTCTATGCTTAAGCTCACTCGCAGGAGTTGCTTTTGCTCGGTTGGGAGCCCTGCCAGAAATTTGTATGCCAAGGCCCGCTCGGGCAGTCCACCGAACAACACCGTCAACTTCGTCAGCTCGGCCAGATACACGTCGACAGTTTCGCCTGGAAGTAAAGTTCTTGCCTCGAATTGTTCCCATGCAGTGGCGGGGTCGATAGCAAACGCCTTGTATAGTGCTGCCTTGATTCTCTTATAATCTTGTTTTCCTCAGCACTGAGCTGTTGATACACAGCGAAAGCCCCGCCAGACAGCCGCAGAGGAATCACATGTTCAATGTTCTTTATGCCAGACAAGAGGCAATGCAATTCCACTTTTTCCACCCAGTCAAGTACCGGGGTTGAGCCATCGAATTCGGAATCAATTTCAGGTCGAATCTGTCCCCCATTATGCCGAAATAGCTTGTCGCAAAATTCGGTCCAAACAATAGGAAGGGAACGGGTAGGTCTCGTAAAATTAGGTCCAAACAATAGGACGAGAACGGGTTGGCCCGGCACCGCCTACTTCTGGAAACACTCCTCAGCTTAACGACAGCTACAATCCAGCTACAACAACTCCACAGATCTTTGCACTCAAATGTTCCAACACCGCCTCGTAGTTCGCTACACACAACTCTCTCGAGTGGTCTCCCGCCGTCACATTTATCCCAGCGAACACCAACCAATTTGCATACGCCCAAGTTCTACTCTCGCCAATCCTCGTGGCTACGAGATCGCGTTTCCATAAGTCCGACTCACCGTAATGGTGGTGTTTCTTTCTTCGGACCAATTACTGCCCTACACGCCAGACACAAACGAACCCTCTTATGCCGAGAACTGAGGTTAGTCTCATTTTCATGTCCACACTTACTCAATTGCCTTGTGATTGATTCGTTTTTGAATGTCTATATTCTATATTGTTGAGGATTAATATGGTGAATATGCCCGTAAACTAACCATCTTAATATAAAAACCTTCTGATACCAAATTCAAACTCATAGCAATCCCAACAAGCTCTTAGATAGGGAACCTAAACTTGGTGAACTTAAACGCAGTACTAGAATGGAGTCGCGATCTTGTCAATTTGCAGTGGAACTGGCAAGATGTTGTCGTAAGTTTCTTTCCTAGCACGTCTCTCTTCTGGAACTCACATCCGGTTCCATGCTTTCTAGCCTAAATTGACCTAGAAAAATTTGGATGCTATGTCAATCGCTTTCTACTGTCCTCCTCATTTCTCTTTTCTCTTTTTCGGCTCATCATTAATGTTTCTAATTCATTCACAACCTTTAATACCCTTGCGTTTTAATGACTTTCCTAACTCGCATGGGGTGATACCAATGAAACACACACACCTACGCGCACGCACACACACACACACACACACACACACACACACACACATATATATATATATATATATATATATATATATATATATATACTTCAAAATTCGCTTGAGGAGGAAATGGAACTAATGTCTTTAATTTAATTACAAAATTAAATTCGGGGCTTTTAGCTTCCATTTTTGAAACATGGTTAGAACTGTGTAACGGAAAAATATTTTCAATCAATTAATTTATAATATTAATGCTCTGTAAATTTACGTTGAGCATTATTTTGTAAAAATTAAAAATATCTATAAGAACACTGGATTATATAGCTTACTGTTCTTTCTTTATATATATATATATATATATATATATATATATATATATATATATATATATATGTGTGTGTGTGTGTGTGTGTGTGTGTGTGTGTGTGTGTGTCTTTAATCATTTCTTAGATACAACGGTTCAAACTTAATCTAATAAAAGGACAAATTTGTTTTTTACTCGATTTGGACAATATTGCTGTTACACCCGGTATATATATATATACCGGTATATATATATATATATATATATATATATATATATATATATATGTGTGTGTGTGTGTGTGTGTGTGTGTATGTATATCCTGTATACATATATATATATATATATATATATAATGACTACAATGTTACTTCGCTTAACATTTTTTATTCGTTTTTCTTGTGCGAACAAGACATTTCTTTTTGTAAGTGCTTTTAAAAATTGTCCACATGGTTGTCCGTTCCCAGCGCTTTTGACTAATTTTCAAGTTAATTTGCTGTGCCATTGCAAATGGTATGTTGTAGGTAAATATGCATATTTAGAATTATTTTCCGCATATCGTCAGTAGATATCCACACACACATACGTGCACACGCACACACATATATATATATATATATATATATATATATATATATATATATATATATATATATATCTTGTATTTGTGTGATTATTGATGTCGTTCTTCTCTCGCCAGCAGCTTCGAAGCTGGCGCATATAATGACACTAACAATGATTTCACCATAAATCCCCTTATTTTCTGCAATCTCCGGACTTTATGGCAAGCAGTTAATTCGATCAAACATTTAAAGATATTTTCCGTCGCTGGAGTAAAATACACGGGTTCACCAAGTGGCGTGCACTTTCCGTCTGTTCAAAAGCAATCGGCCAAATTACTTTCCTGTCATAAATAACAACTGAAGGCGTCGGGGCTATCATGATATTGACTTTCATTGGTGCCACACATACAAAATCCGCTTGACCACCAGACTGGACGTTACTCTTTCCTTAGCGCCGATCTGGCCTGATGATAATAAAGAAAGCCATGTATTACGAAGCAGTTTTTATTCTTTTCTGGTCAGAGCACTTATATCGTAAAATATATATGTATAGATAGATAGATAGAAGAGAAACTATTCATTCCGAAACTTCATACACAAAATACTTTTTATTAATCCTTTAATTTCTTTCCTTAAGTGGATTTCGAACTTTTCTAAATCCCGAACCTTTTATTTGTATTGTAGAGTATAAACAAGAAAAACGTTTTTACTCATGAGAGCGATACTAAAAAAAAAGAAGCTCTTAGACTGATTAATAAATACAAATTTGTTTTGTTATATACCACTCTGTATCTATCGCGCCAAGAAGTGATGTTGAGCTATGTGTAAAGACTATTGTTCGCATCCTTTCGTAGGAGAGGTGTAGAGACATAAATGCAACAAACAGTGAATACTGCATTTTTATACGCTACTGTTTATCCACTGGGGCCACTCAAGGTAGCAGCTTACAGACTAAGAGTACAGATTATGCAGATATGTGCGGAATATATCATTTAACCCTAGACGAGAACAGGTTAGGATTGTGTTGATCGGGGAAGCAACCTCTTTCATTATATTTAGCCATTTTCAAGGATTTAATATTTTAATTGTTAAATAAGAAATAGTTTTTTGCCTGTATGTTTTATAAAATATTTTCATTTTTCAAAACACGGACAAGATATTGTGTCTATGTTCATAGTTAAATTGAATGAAATTAGTTAGCATATGCCTAGCATGGCGGATCACTCACCAGAGAAATAACAACAGTCCAGTGAGAGGCTTGCAAAGTATCATCTGTGACAAAGGGTTGTAGAATAGAATAGAAAAATAATTCGTCGTCTACAAGGGCTGGGAGACTTTTTTGGAGTCTATCAAGAGTGAAGAATTTTTTCTACTGTCTCTCAGTCCTTTGCGGGTTATATATATATATATATATATATATATATATATATATATATATATAATTTTAGATTTTAACATTGTAAGAATTCTTTTGGCAGATATTAATGGTTTAGTGATACAAGTCTTACTATTTAATCCATAGCGAAGGGAAGAAGTGTAGTCATAGATTTCCCAACTTTAATTGTTTGAGAATATAAGGAAATCAATGGAATTTGAACTCTGCACCGCGATTAAAAATTCCGAGTCATTTATCCGTTACACCACCTGCGTATCCAAATTTACGACACCTGGTATTTCCAAGGGGACACCCATCTAGTTACTGATCGGGCTTGAACTTGCTTAACTTCGGTGATTGTATTGAAACCGGTGTTTCAATATAATGTAGCCGTAATCCCGGGCATTTAGAGTGGCACACATAAACTGTGGTATCATTTGCATAGTTATTTACTAACGATCTAAGAATCTAAGAATGTATTTAGGCAGATCGTTAATATGTTTACATTGATGTCAATACTAAAAAAAGGCTCAAGTGCCAGCCAATGTAGAGATTTTCTGTGTGGCGTTGTATGAGCGCGAGAAAAAGGAAAGAAGTGAAATTCATGAAGTTATTCAGGAAACACAACTTTTAATTCTAACAGTCCAATAATTTATAGATTGGGAAAGTGTTGTGTTAGGATCCACCTAATTTGCATAGTGGAGTACCGACCATATAAATATGGTTAGTACCGGGAAGAGAGAGAGAGAGAGAGGAATCAAGAGATTCAATCCAGAGACTCTGCCCGACTGCGACTCAGTCAACACATTCTCCAGGAACGGTCTTCCCAAGAATATACAAGATACTATATGTAAATATTGTGTACCTTTCTTGTTTCAATACATTTTGTTCTAAGTACATTTTGTGTTGTATTATTATTCCATTCATTAGTCAAGTTTCAACAGAAAGCATCATTTCTGGATGTTTGTTACAGAAAGCAGCCTTTCTATGTAAGAAGCTCTCCGAGTAGAATTTTATTCTTAATAATAGAATACGTAGATAATGTGTATAAAACTAAAAGGGGGGGGGCAGAATTGTAGGGACGTCTTACGAATGCCATCATTGATCTCCTGGGCTTCAAAACATTGAACATTGGCAACAACATTAAAGAAGATTGCGAGAACACATGCAGAGATTCCATAGCTGGGGGGTTTCTCTTGCAACCCCCCGATGCAGGAAAATCTTTGAAGATTTTTCCTTGCCATAAGTTTATCAAAGAGATTAATAGTACATTTCAAGAACATTTAAGTGTACTTAACCCAGTTGAAAAATTCCTTATCTGTGAAGCCCACAAAATACTAAAATGTTTTCTCCCTATATCTATTTACCGATAACATCTCACATTTTCATAAGATTTCCCATTTTTCAGATCATTTTTTATTTATTAATCCGACTGATTTTATTCTAACCGAATTATATTTAAAAATACAATGCTTTTCGAGAATATAGATATATATATATCTGTAGTTCCCTGCCAACAGCAAGCAGAAATAATTCTCCTCCCGATGATGGCCATTTCAGTCGAAACTAGTCGAGGAATCTAAATGGAATAATAATAATAAAAAAACGAAAGAATATTAATCTACAACCCAGTGTGTCTAATGATTTTAATTTTTAATTTTTAATTTTCTTATTGTTCAATATATATATATATATATATATATATATATATATATATATATATATATATATATATATATTATTATTATTATTATTATTATTATTATTAGAATAAACTTCATTTCTCATATTTTACTTTGAGCAAAGTGTACCTGTGCAATTATATATTCATATTGTGTTGTCATAGAAAAAACATTGCCCTATTGTGTTGTCATAGAAAAAACATTGTGCTAATGTCGAAAGTATTCGGAATAAATGGATATGTATCAGCATGGTAATTTTCTCTCTTCTTTTAATAAGGAAACTGGGAAGATTGTCCGTGAATATGAGAGGATCCTATAGAAAATAAGTAGATAAAAATTGTTTAAATTATTTAATGGGTGATGGGAGATGTATTTGAATATATATATATATATATATATATATATATATATATATATATATATATATGGGAGAGGGTGATAGCTATCTGATTAATACGTGAAAATATATGAAATTTATGCTCCATCACGTTTCATCTAAGGGGGATCGACAGGGAAGCCAGCCTTCCCTGATGATCCGCTTAGGTGAAACCTTTGTAGTTTTGTCTGGCTCTCTAGGTTTAACTAGACCTGCTCTACTTACTGTATTGAGCAATTTATTTAGTTATTTTGCTTACTCGTATCGGGGATTTTTTTCTTTGGACTTGAATCCTAGACGATTATTTTCAGCTAACCTACATGTTCTTGGCTCTTTCTTTTTTTATACTTTTTTTCCCTTTGGTATTGGTTTGGTTATTTGCAAATCAAGACACCGAAGGTTTTCGGCGAGTATAATTACTTATACGCATAAGATTATTACTAGTAAAATATATATATATATATATATATATATATATATATATATATATATATATATATATTGTTAGAAGAGTGTGTGAATTTTCTGAGAAGGAAAATACTCGAGATTGCCACTAATGAATCATATTAAAATATTTATCATACACCCAGGATTGTTTCCACCATCACCTTTCTTGAGAGAATTACTACTTTCGAAAACAAACATATGCCAGCAAAACAATCATAACTGATCTTTACCATACCGGATATTTTTAAAAATCAATAGAAAATAGTTAAATCTATTACCTTATGTTTTTGAAGATATAGAGCTCTTAATATAACACCACAACAATCTAATCAAAATTTTAATATATTCATTTGAATATCTATCTATCTATCTATCTATCTATCTATCTATCTATCTATCAATCTATCTATCTATCTATCTATATATATATATATATATATATATATATATATATATATCTATCTATCTATCTATCTATCTATCTATCTATCTATCTATTCTTTATATATATATATATATATATATATATATATATATATATATATATATAATTATAGAAAGAGATAGATAGATAGATAGATAGATAGATAGATATATAGAGAGAGAGCGAGAGAGATAGTTAGATAATATTAGTGGTCTCTCTCTCTCTCTCTCTCTCTCTCTCTCTATATATATATATATATATATATATATATATATATATATATAGATAGATAGATAGATAGATAGATAGATAGATAATATTAGTGGAAAATATATAAATGCCCATACATGTATATTTTTCCAAGATGATAAATCCAGGTAGAGCTCTATGTCCAAGACAGAGGAAGAATATAATACAATAGGCTCAAACCCTAATATTCCATGGTTATAATTTATTACACTGGAATCGTAATCACGGTCCATGCATCAAACCTACAATTTAAAAAAAAAAAAACAACATCATCTCCGAGTATAAAGAAAAATCAGTGAGACTGTATGTGTGAGAGTGAGAAACAAGGGTGAGAGGGAAATGTATCAAAATTCTAGAGAGAGGAGTAAAGGAAAGAAGAAGCACAGTAAAGGCCTTAAAGTGAGGGTGAAGAATAAAATTTAAATGAGAGACGTGATGAAGAGAGAAGTTAAATAAAGTTTTAAACCAGTGAGATACAGATAAATATGAGTTATTTTCAGTTGCATAAATCGACTACCGATTCATTTTTATATATATATATATATATATATATATATATATATATATATATATATATATATAATATGAAGAAAATTTGGAAAAAACAAACAAAAAATACTTAAATGCAACTATGTTGTTTAAAATGAATGAAATGTCGACGTCTGACGTTTCGGTTTAATAAACCTTCTTCAGGACAATATTCATTAAAATACAATTCAGTTCAATTTGACAAAGACGATGGACATAAAAAACAAGTCTTATCCAAAACAGATAACTGAAAATTTTTAAAATGATCAGCTTTCCGTTTACCATGGTCACGTTGTCGTCACATGGGCGACGCTTTCAAAACGTATTCCTAAAAAATTATTGATTATTTTGAATGCTTTTTATGTCCATCGTCTTTGTCAAATTGAACTGAATTGTATTTTAATGAATATTGTCCTGAAGAAGATTTATTAAACCCAAACGTCAGACGTCGACATTTCATTCATTTTAAACAACATAATTGCATTTAAGGATTTTTGTTTGTTTTTTCCAAATTTTTCTTCATTCTGTCAGATCTTTATCCATTTACATTTGCTTACATATATATATATATATATATATATATATATATATATATATATACTTAACCATGCCCTCCACACGTTTTGACTGACCTTTCAACCACCTGATGAAAATGCATGCCTTGATAAACTAATGACCTCTTCGTTTTGTGTATAAACACGTGCAACAAAATAAATCGTACATTGATTTGAAAGGTTCTTCAAAGGACGTAATACGTCGGCTGAGAAGAGTTTACCTTGTGTCTTTTGATTCATATATATATATATACATATATATATATATATATATATATAGAGAGAGAGAGAGAGAGAGAGACATAGACAAAGAGAGAGACTAACCGTGTTATAGTAGACATTTTCTACTTGAAATAGAGGCCACAATTGCATTTATGAAACAATGTATATTGCGTCTATCGGTGTGCTCATTTGAGAAGGAAATACACATTGCTTAATAGAGGAAAATGGGGTGTCTATTTCACATACGAAGTGTCCATCGTAATAAGTAATAAAACTATGTTTGTGTGTGAGTGTATGTCTCTGCGTATATGTGTATGTATGCACATATATGTTTTTGTATGCGTGCGTTTGCCAAGTAACTTCGAATCTTCCTTGTCACCTATCTCTTACATCTTACATCAACGTCGATGCGAATGGACAGTATTCTTAAACCGACGAGATCAATGTGGGCACCCCTTAGGCTTTCTCAACTTCTCTGTCCGACGCAGCTTCCGCTTTGTATTAATGATCCGTCTAAGAACGTTCTCAGACCAATAATAAATATCGCTGCAGATGATACCTCGATCTAGATATGCGGAGCCTTGAAACTAATCTCTACGGTAACCCGAGATCTTACATTTCGATGATTATAAAAGACGTGTAGATTTGAACACGTCAAAATGCAAGCTAGTTTTCGTTTCGTCACCACCGATCAGACGCCGAGTTTTCTCATGTCACGATGAAAGCAAAGAACCCACAGCGAGGCTATATGTCTTTTGGTCTCAAGTTCACGCCGGTCCTCAAATAGAACGTTCTGTTGTTAAACTGAGTGCGAAAATTGCCGACTCATTGAAAAGCTTAAAAAAATAACTCTGTCGTGATTTATCTAGTCAGATTAGAGTAAAAAAAAATGCCGTGAT